TCCAACTATCTCTGTGTCTCTCTCTCTCTCTCGCTCTCTCTCACTTCCTCTTTAAATAAAGGGGCCACGCACGTTAAGTGGACACCAGTGGAAAGGCAAAAACAAAGAAAACAAACAAAAAACCTAACTCCTACTAAAACTGCACTTTAATAGTTGCTGTTACCGTGTCCAACTCTTTGCTTTCTCTGCAGGATTATATTCAGTTATTTCTCACGCAATCTCTGAGGGGGGAAGAAAAGGCGTGCAACCAACGGCTTCGGTAAATACGCGAAGATAACTGCGCATTCCTGCTATTAGATAAATTCCTTTTAAACTGCTTGCAAATGTTCAGTGGGGGCTACGGAAATTTAGGTAGGAGTAAAGATAATAAGTAAGTGCTAATTTTGGAGAAGATCCATAGTTCTCAATTCCAAGAAATTTAAAAATACCCAATGCGATACATCTCTTTATGAATTGAAAAATGGGTAGAGAATAAAAACAATTTTTTCCCCCAAGATTTAGGAAATCCTTCTCAAGTCTTCATCTGACCCAAGACTGAGAAGGGACTCAGAACCAACTTAAGAAAACCACTAAATTCCTATTCAAGACCATAAGGACTCATGATGATACCTTGGTACAAATATTTTCTTTAAACTTAATAGGGGAATAACAAGTCAGGCAGCAATATGATGCAAAACCTTTATCTTACTGAGGTGTTCTGTCTCTAGTAGCTATACAGATGCACCTCTATTAATTAAGGTATGTTAATAAGGAAGAAAATAAGATTCCATTCAGAAGGGTACAAAGAAGATATAATGGGCATGCACTGCCTTTCAGAGCACACAGATAAAGCAGAAAAAATGACAGATATTAAAAAGATGGCGCCATTCAGTCATTCTTCTGGTTTTCTCATGTTGCCTGGATGGTTCATCACCAGTATATTTATAGTAATGACCTCCATTTATTTAGTGGCCACTGTGTTCCAGGTTCTACGCAATATGCTTACCTAATAGAAATATTTCCCATACCATTACGGGTTATGTTATTGGAGCTGGCAAAGACCAACGACTTTTTATTTATTTTTGATAAGGACTTTGGAGTGGGGTATAATAGTAGAAGATGAAAAGGACAATGAAAGGTATTCCTCTGCGTTTTGTAGATTTTTCTCCATTTTTCAGCTTAATTGCTTCTCGACTAAACTCACAACCTGCGGGAAGGGGATAAACCTCAGAATATCTGTGCTATTTCTTCTCCCTGAAATATCTACAATTTATCCTCAGGCCTCTTCTATTCTTTCCCTCACCATTTCCAAATAATCCTATGTCAGCTCCGAAAGCCTGGAAAGCCAGCATTGAAAACCAGAGGGAACTTGGCCAGAGTGGCCATATTTTCTGAACCTCGAATCGAGACACATGGCCAAAGAAGGGCATTTGAAAACAACAACAACAACAACAACAACAACAACAAAACTGGCTACACCATGTGAAATCTAGACTCTCCCAGAATATCCAAGGCACAGAGTTCTTTTAGGAATCACACGGTTACATTTCAGGATTGCACACCAGACAACCCAAAAGTCGGCAGATACTGGGATTCTTTCCATATCCTGAACGGATCGCTGACAAGATTCCTGTAGGCTCTGCCCCTCTCAGGTGGGCCATTTTAGAATGTTTGTTTCAGGTCACTTTCTCCAGCGTGACTATCTCAGCAACTCAACGTCATAGGCATGAACAAGCAGAGGGTCCCACAGGTTGAGGGTGACTGATGTATCTTTATGGAGCAAAGCAAGCTGTTCAAAGCAAAACGGAACAAGAACAAAGAGTTCCTCCTGTACATACCAGGACTCTGTTCCACTAACAATCTAGCTCTGACATATAAATCTTTTAGACTGGTGTCAGAGCAACAGTACTAGTCTATAAAGTCATTCAGCCCATGTTGTTCGAGTATAGGGGTTTGATCATCGAGGCTTATATTGCCCAAAACAATAGCCACTGGCCACATGTGGCTACCGAGCACTTGAAACGTGGCTGGTGCGGACTGAGATGTGCTGTAAGTGAAAATACATGCAGGATTTCAAAGATTCAGAGCGCAGACACAAAAAGTAAAATATCTCACGTACAGTAAATACATACAATTTCAATATAAATACTGATTATATGTTAGAAAATAATTTGAAATTAATTTCACCTGTTTCTTTTTCCTTTTTAAAACGTGGCTATTAGAAAATTTAAGACTGCATGTGTTGCTTGTGTTTATGGCTCACATTACATATTTCTGTTTAATGTCGCTGGTCTAGATAGCTGAATAGAGAAATAGGATGTGATTTTATAGGCTAAGCCAGCAAATTTTTAGAAATTACCTCTGCTTTGCTCTTAAATTTGTGGTTAACAATAATACAAAGATCTTACGTACAGGCTGAGAAAATATTTTACATGTATACTTTTGTATATATGTATTTTTTAAATTAATGTTGAGTTTCATTTTTAACTAAGAATAAGCAAAGAGCTTTTAAACAATTAAAATATAATCTTGAAATATGAAGTTGCAGATACTTAGGCTTTGGTGTTTAACTTTTCATATTCTAAGAATTAGAAATAATAATGTTTTTGATCCCTGAGGCCCAGAAGATTATTAAAATACGTTTACTTGGATTTGATTTTTAAATTCTTTAAATGCAGAAGTTATGTTCAGGGGGAAAACGGCAATGTTATGACTCTGCTTGTTACAGTCATTACTTTGCAAGGAAATAAAATACTATACTATAGTATAGTATAATAATTCAATGGGAATTATTCAAAAGTTGCATATATATTTTAGGTTTTATTGTTATTTTTAGTAAATGAAGAAAGTTCTCATTTTTTTGAATTAAGCAATGTGGTAAATATATATTTAACATTTAATTTAAGCTATAACATAGTAGTGCCCGAATGTACCCTGTGCCTGGCCAACTCACAATGGTTCATATTCTTTCCTAGAACGTTGAAATCATCTTATATGACAATTTCACCTTGATGCCAGTAACAGCTAATCAGCAGTAACAAACAAAGTACTAGATCAAAGGCAGAGACACACATTTTGCTTCACTAGCAAGTTCTGCAGTTTAAATCTTCAATAAGCAAATTTAAAGCATGCTTTCAGAATAAGTATTATGATACAAATTGCAGAATGCATTATAAACTGTAGCTTTATATTCTGTTTACTTACAAGGATTCCATTTTGCACTGATGATAAATACTTAGTCTTTAGACATAAAATATTTTCACTCGGGGACATGATTCTTGCTTGATAAATGTGTGGGGTTACCGTTATTTCTCAATCAGAAAGCTTAAAAATATGTGCATTCAGAAACGTTTGCCGTATTATTTGCAGGCTTAAGTTTTTTCATCCTAAGAGAAATCAGTCTAAAAGCTGACACCAAGGGGATGATTTTGCAGAATAAAAGCTACATGACTTTTCCCCTTGGATTTCCCGTTTTATTTATTTATTTATTTATTTGCCCAACTTTGGATTATTGAGGCATCAGGTAAGAAGCCGTGAAATATACATGCTACCTATCCTGAGTAATATGCAGACCACAGCTGTTAACTCAAGTGAAGCCACCAGCTAAGAATAAAAGCACCAGAAAACAAACCAACCGAAACCTAGAGCAAACAACATGCTTATCACATAATAACTATTGAATAATGCAAATATTAACAAAGCAAACCAAGCAGGGGGTCTCCATCTCAGGAAGAAGAAAAGCCAGCAAAGAGAAGGCAGTGATTGGGAAATCAGATCTGCTCTTCCTCCCTGGTTCATTACTGAGAAAAAGTGGATCAGGACTGACATCTGCTGGCCTTGTTAATGGGATGTACCCATTGAAACCAGGGTCTTGGAGAACAAAACATTCTGGTGGGGTGATATTGCATCACTGGGGTAGGGAGGAGGCGATGGCTTGGCAGAAGCCTTGCTGGTGAGCCACCTGCAAAGTGGCCAATCAGCGGACACTCCACCGGCCAAGGGTAGCCTCAGTTTTTCCCCCTGATAACCAACAATGTTTTTCTAATCACTCCAAGAGGGGACAGAGTATTATATAAGCAGATTTCTTGTTAGAATTATGCAAGTTCCAAGGAGTGCTGGTCAACTAGATACTCAATAGATATGACCAGACAATTTCACATCTTTACCCAACAGCTCATTGGAGAATGAATTACTTTCACACGTGAAGTATGTATCACACCCCGACAACCTCAGTAGCTTTCAGTACGCCGGGGTAGCAGCCTCTTGAATGTTCACCAAGTCAATGACCCAAATCTGACTTTTCTCATTCTCTCTTTTGTGCCCCTGCCCCCCCCCCTTCTCAAATGGAGTCTATCTCACCGAACAGACAGCAGGTTTGTGAGATTCTGTCCTCATGAGGTCTTGCTTCTAATCTCCCGGGTCTTAGTTTTCTAAGCAGAGTGTTATCCATCATTGGGGAAGGCAAGTTCTTATTGGCTTGAGGCGACCAGATGCCTGAGACAGGGTCTTAGTCATGTTCTCGGCTCCTAGCACGGTTCCTCCTACATAATAGTCACCCAGCAAATATTTGTTGGCTTACTTGGAAAGTTGAATGTTCTATACTTTCCCCATGTCGCTTTTAGGAGTGCAATTTCTTTTCTTTTCTTTTTTTTTCAAGTTTGTTAATTTTGAGAGAGAGAGAGAGAGAACATGAGCAGGGGAGGAGCAGAGAGAAGGAGAGACAAAATCCCAAGCAGGTTTCGCACCATCGGCGCCCAGCCCATTTGGGGGCTGGAACTCACAAACCCTTGAGGTCATGACCTGAGCCCAGATTGAGAGTCGGAGGCTTAAACGACTGAGACACCCAGACGCCCCCGAATGCAATTTCTTTATGGTGGATCCGAACAGAGCTCAGTCGCCTAGTGTTTCATTGGAAACACCAGTTTTAATTGGAAATGAACAATGACGCTGAGTACTTTTGTATCTTCTACCAGTGCCCGCTTCCCTATCAGTTAAATTTCTCTCTTGCGGGAGGCGCAGTCCTAGTGTGTGTAATCGCCAAATTAGGTCACGGGTTACAGAAATTCTTGCTCAGAACAATCCTCAACGTGCTTCCTTTCAGTGATAAAAGTGAGACTGGTGGGCCAGAAATCTCCACCCCTCCCCACTCTTTGCTTATGTGAATTCCAAAGTATGTCAAAAGTGTATATGACTGCTGTCACATACGTGTGTGTGCCTTCTGGTGTATGTGTGCATGTGGCTCTGGACATAAACAACTTACTAAAAAAATTTTTTTTTGTAAAGCATATGGAAGAAACGAAGCCTGGAAAACTTTCCCGAGAGACAGAAGGAGAAGAGAGCCTGAAACTTTGTTGAGCTTTTAAGAGGCATGCGGATCATACACTGTCTTCAAAAACACGAGCAAAATCTATCCAGCTGAGAACCAAGCTCAATCAGATTGCCACCTCAAACTGCATTTTCGGAGGCGGAGGCAAAATAGTGCACAGAAATCATCAGCTTTGAGGTGAAAATCATTGGTTTATGTCAAAAAGTGTACAAAGCCCATTTGTTCTTTTCATCTCCTTCCAGTTTCTGTACTTTGTTCCCAGCTTACACAAAAGAAGAGCAAAATAGTTTCACTTTTCTTAAATATAGTTGAAGCAAAGGCCCTTTTTTAGAAAAAAATTCTGAGGAGGTGATTGAGTATTTATTCCACAGCACTGTTATGGATTTCATAATATATGTAATATATATATAATATATATTATACACAATATACATATATTTAATATATAAAAGTATATACATATACAATATGTATATTATATGTATTTTTAAATCCTTTAAACCTCAGGATCATTCTCAGATTTAAAAAATTGAGATCTTAAGAGAAAATAAAGGACTTAAGGTATTGGGTAGTATCATCTCAATATTTAAAACTCTAATTTCCACAGTTTTGTTCAAAACACGTTAATTTACATTTTGAAAAAACTTGAAGGGGGAAATAAAAATCATCCTGCTCAAAAACTTTGCAGAGCGTTTTGCTTTTTATATACCATGGTAACCTAATAAAGACACCATCACTTGGCAGATGGCGTGGCATATTAGCCTTGAAATAAAACACGAGATGCCAAAACTATTAACTCCAACGTGCTCGGAAATTAAAATCAATTTTTTTCATTCTGTGTCCCTCACATTTTTTTCTTCTTTCGTCTTATCCTGCAACAAAAAGTAGTGAACTTGTCAAAAACTTTCCGTACCTACTCGAAGGCCATTTGCAAATACCAGGAAGTGTTTGAAATACAGATCCTGGAAACGAACACCTTGGCTACTATTCTCGGTCCTGTTTAAGACCCTTTTGGCCGACACCTACAGACTCTCCACTTCTGCCTGGTGCGAGCAAAACATTTCTTTTGTCTTGCTCTTGCTTCTTCCTTCCTAGCTCCTATTCAAACATATAATTGATGGAATAAATACTTTGCTCCACACTCCTGAAATCTAAGGATCCATAGCCATGAAGCATTGCAGAAGGGATAGGGCTCTCCAGGCCACGTTGAACTCTGTTCAAAATACAGTCTTATCTCTTTAAGAGATGGTAGCTGTTCGCATGCAGCCTCAGCAGGCCATGCAAGACACTCCTGTCGGGTGTCAAGGTCCAGATCTGTGTTACGGGGTGTTATCGAAGAGGTGGGGCACCCCCTTTCCCCGAAATTTCTCCTGTTTTTATGGAGGCTGACATACTTGTAATTTTTAAGATCTTAATTCTAAACATAAGTTGTGTTGGATCTTTCCTTTCCTACTTCTTTCCCCCCTTCGTTCTTTCCTCCTAAAGATCTCACTCAGCACCTAACTTTTTAACCTTGTCTACATCAGGGCCAAAGGGGAACAAAAAAGCGCATCAGAGCAATGCGTGTCATAGTTTTTCATGCTAAAATAATATGGAATGAACGGAGACTGTCTTGCTAGAGAGGAAAATTAAATGTCTTGGCCCCATATTAGCCGGCTGTCTTTGAAAATGTTGTCATGTAATTTCAGTGCCGCTTAAAATGTCTATAAATGCAAATCTTTTCCTGCCAAAGAGATGTCATAATTCACATTCCCAGAAAGGGATTCTGTGCTCACAAGAGACAAACACAACAGATTCCCATGATACATAGTCAAGTCCACTAGCCTACTAAAATAAAATGAAATAAATAAAAAGAAACCCCTCAAGGAGAAAATTCCAAATATACAGGCCAAGAGCATAAATCTCTTTGCATTATTATTATTTTTTAATTTCCAGATTTATTTTATTTATTTTTTTTTTTAATTTTTTTTTCAACGTTTATTTATTTCTGGGACAGAGAGAGACAGAGCATGAACGGGGGAGGGGCAGAGAGAGAGGGAGACACAGAATCGGAAACAGGCTCCAGGCTCTGAGCCATCAGCCCAGAGCCCGACGCGGGGCTCGAACTCACGGACCGCGAGATCGTGACCTGGCTGAAGTCGGACGCTTAACCGACTGCGCCACCCAGGCGCCCCGTAATTTCCAGATTTAAATATCAGTGTGTCCTGTATGCAAAGTGAACTTTAACAAAAAAATCTTACAAATAATCTTGCGATGTTTACTGCTCTTTCCTCCCTCCTCTGGTTTTTGCTTTCCTTTCTGTCATGTGACCCCATCACGTAACTAGGCAGGTGCTTCCACAGCCAGGTATCAGGCAGGGACATGTCTGTGCTTGGTCTAGCTATCTAATATTGACGCTTTAATGCGCTTCTTGCTTTAGGTTTTTACCGGTCCCTACTAGTCATCAGAAGAATGAGGAACAGAAATAGCAGTGAGCACACTGACTGGGCCAAGGATTCTTTCATTCAATAAATATTTTTTTATTAAAAACAGTTTTAATGTTTGTATTTATTTTTGAGAGACAGAGAGACAGAGCGCGAGTGGGGGAGGGGCAGAGAAGGAGGGAGACGCAGAATCTGAAGCAGGCTCCAGGCTCTGAGCTGTCTCCACGCGGGGCTCGAACTCAGGAACCGGCAGATCGTGACCTGAGCCGAAGTTGGATGCTTAACCCACTGAGCCACCCAGGTGCCCCAATAAACATTTATTGAGTGACTACTAAGTACCAGGCACAATTCTAAGCCCTAGAGATACTGTGGTGAACAAGGCAGGTCGAGACGAGGGAAAAACCTCAACATTCTGGGTAGATAGGAACCAAGACCACACGCACACACATATACAGAATAAAGTAGGTCACTTCCTGCTTGCTCAAAATACTCTGCTACCAGCTTGCCATGTTTGCCAAAGTTTCCATCATGAAATCAATTCCTTTGATTTAGTTTGATTCCCCATCTTTATTTGGAGAGTTTCTCATCTTGGGAGTTATAATGGGGACAGAGTCTGTTGCTCACTCTATGAGCTAAAAATGTGGAATTGGTGTCTCAGTCTTATTTGCAGTAAGAGAGTAGTGGCTGTACGATCTGAGCTCTACTCGTCTGATCCTTCTTGCTCCGGGCTTTGCTGTGGGGCTAATGATTTAGAGAAGTGACTTCAAACCACCAAGAACCCATTTGGGCCGTGGACAGGGTGACGGCAGCAGCAACATTGTCCTTTCGGGGGGAACCGTGTTATGACCGCATCCTGTTGTGATGCCAGAGGCATCAGTGGTCCAAGCGTCCATGTCTAGCCCTTGTGCAGGAAGAGCAGTGATGCCCTCACTCATGTATTGTTTAGCGTGATTTTGGCTGTGGTTTTAGTTTATAGAAGAGACTCTATAGTTTTTCACCCATTTTCCCTTACTTTCCCTTACTTCTGGACATACTGCTGGACTGCATCTTCCATATCTATATAGTCTCCTTTTTAAAACAAGGGTGACCTTAGCTCTGCACTGGCAGTGTGGACCCTGCTTGGGATTCTCTTTCTCCGCGCCTCCCTTGCTCACGTTCTCTCTTTCTCTCCAAATGAATGAATAAACTTGAAAATAAAATCAAGTAAATCAGGGGTGACCTTATTACTAAATTCTGGCTAATAAGTTGCTGTCGAAAGTGCATCTGACACTTCCAAGTTAAACCCATAAAGACTTCCTACCACATCCTCCACAATCTCTCTGCTTCCATCTATCCACTGGCTACTGGCATTCACAATAGCCCGGAGTCGCATGTTGATTATGGCGCAGGCTTCATCAGCCTGGGCCCCTGAATGGCTGTAAGGGGCAGGGCCTCCTTGCCAGTTAGATTTTAGGGGATGAGAAATAAACTTTTATTGTATTATGCTGCTGAGATTTCAAGGTTTATCTTTATAGTAGCTAAATTTCCCTAACTAATGGACACATTTGTACCAGAAGTGGAACGTTACCATAACAAAAACCTAAAATACGTGATTTGGGGTGAGCCATGAGCACGTGAGCGGCAAGGAAACTGGCTTGGAGGCAGGACAGTGTGTTATGCGCTGGCAATATCTTTGATAAAACTGTCCCTTGATAGAACTCAGAAGACAGGTCAAGCGTATGCTGATTCTTTAGCTCTAGAGAAAAGGGCTGGAAAACAAAGCGTTAGTAGCAATTTGCAAAAAGGTGGATGAAGTCAAGAAAGAATTGGCTTGTTTCACACAAAACTACGACTGGAATGTCAGAAACTAGGGGTGTTGAAAAGTTGGAAAAATTGACCGCTTCCCAAACTGAAACAGCGAGAGATCAGATTGTATAAGGCTTAGCCCTGCAGCTCAGATCAAATCAAGGGTGAGGTCTTTCCATCCGGGTTCTATGGCCTCAGGCCGTAGATAGAGAAAGCATCATGGGGACTAGGAAGCCATAAATCAGGCTTGAGGATTCTGACGAGGAAAAGACTGGGTATAGTTACCAACACTGGAGGCTAATTGGAAGCAGATAGGTGAAAAGTCTACTAGGCTTTTGAGGAAATTATACTGCCAAAGAAACCATAAGTCTGGACTAAAACAAGCCTTTGAGCATCATAATAAGTCTTGGGCTCCCAAATTTATCAACAATATATGGGTTTTGAGAACTACGCAGCCTCTAAGGAGGACATACTTTCCTCTATCCATATCAAAGTGCTCAAGGAGGAAAAGGACAAAGAAGAAACTTCCAGATGGTGGAGTCAGGAGCCATGAAGAACAATGAAGAAGACAGTTTCTCCCAGAAAGCAGATCTAGGGTCTCTTCTGTAAAATTTTCTCACTCCCAGGGCGAGGTTTTCACCGAGCCTGCCCATGAGGATTTAATACCTTTAAATTTTTTTTCACGTTTTTATTTATTTTTGAAGGAGAGAGACACAGAGCATGAGCGGGGGAAGAGCAGAGAGAGAGGGAGACATAGAATTTGAAGCAGGCCCCAGGCTCTGAGCTGTCAGCACAGAGCCCGATGCGGGGCTCCAACTCACGAACTGTGAGATCATGACCTGAGCCGAAGTCGGACGCTTAACCGACTGAGCCACCCAGGCGCCCCTCAGATTTAATATCTGTATGTAGCAGTGACTTCTGTAACTCTCCTCCTGTCCTTGTTCTACCCCTGGATAGCAGATGTGCTGGGAGAGGAGGCAGTAGGGAACTGGTCTTTCTAGTTTTAGGGCCCTAGACCATGATGAGCTGTAGATCCAGACCTGCTGGAGATTCTGAGCATCCCCAGGAATCTGGGCTTAGTGCCAAACTCAGTGACTGGACAGCACTTTGGTTTATCTTTCGTGTGTGTGTGTGTGTGTGTGTGTTGGGGGGTGATTGTGTTCTCAGTGTGGGAGGAAACACGGCGTGGATATGTAGTGACAAGAAGATGGTCTGGGAAAGACACTGGCTAGTTAGTTATTCCTCTTTCTGACCGAGCCTCAGCTGGACTAGATTTTCTCACCTCTCCTGCAGTTATGTGTGGTCATGTGACTGCGTTCTGACCAATAGAGTGAGTACAGAAGTGATGTCTGTTGCTTCTGGGTTTGGTCTATAAAAATTCACATGGGCTCTATTTCCTCTTTTCTCCCATCTGCTAACAGAATGTTGAGGCTCAAGGTGTTCTTGGAAGTCATGTGCTGAAAATATTAAAGCTCTCACCGGCCTGACTTCCTTAGTGACTGGAATGAAGCCTGTCTTCCTTTTCTTCAACCACTAATTGAACTTTGAGCAAGAAACATATATTGTTTTAAGCCATTGAGATGTCAGGGTTTATCTGTTAACACAAATAGTATATCATAAACAACTAATGTACTGGTACTGACTTATCTTTATTCCTGCCATTTTCCAAGCCTGATTCTGTGGCCCTCTTGGCAATCCCGTGAGCTTCTGAAATATCCTTGCAATTTATTTCTTTTCTGTTTGTCACCCAGAATTGGTTTCTCCTGTTGGCAACTAGAAACCTTGATTGATATATTAGCTGTAAAAACTTGAATTAAATAGTGTACTCAACGCAACGTCTGACACCTACCTATTCTACAAATATTAAACTTCCCTTTGTTTTAACTGAAAAGGTGAGTTAAAAACCTCTGTATGGGTCAATGAGGATCCATCGTAGAGTCAGATAACATCCAATGCAAGTCAAATTATTGTGTCTGATTAACTGATCAGCTATTTGGCAATGCTGTAAGGAAAATATTATATGTAACTGGTTACTTGTGATGAGCCCAGGAGGGGAAGGCTGTGATATTATGGAGCTGGAGTAGCTCTGAGGATCAGGTAATCGCGTGCTTGCTCCTGCTCAACTCAGGAGCTGAGCTCAGGTGGGAATGAGCAATTAAAAGGAGTCAAAAAGGGAAGCAAACTCTGCCTACTTGGGAAAAACCAAGGGCGACATTGATTATGAATAATACATAACACTCTAGATAGTGTGGTATAAAAGTTCAGGATCTTCGCAAGATGGGAAAGTGACAGGTGACACTTGAGGATGCAGCTTGAGGCCCCGGGACCACACGAGGATAAAGAACGTTTCCCAAGGAGAAGCCCTGAGTCCCTGTGGTGAAAGTTGGTCGGTGCAGGAAAACGTTAATGAGCAAAATATACCTGCAAATAGGTAGAATTATACTTTCATGGCTGTGTTGCCAACCATAATGTTTAGTTAGTTTCACTCTTGGTCGTAGGGAATAGAATGTCAATTACATTAGTTAGGGTAATGAAGTTTTATTATAAAGATGCACAAGGCAAAAAGGGAGATGGAATTTTCCAGAAATCCAAGAACATAAAACTTGTTAGCTGGGTTTCACGGATCTGGAACTAGAAGATCATTCAGTCTAAGTTGAGCTCTAAAGACCTCTGAAGCCTGGATCCATTCTTATTTTAAACCATGAACATATTTCAGCTACTTTTTAATATTTTTTCGTGCCATCAGCTCTGACTGACTTATTTCATATTTCTTTGTTCAAATTTCTAACATCCACAGGTTGTGGCTTTCTCTCTCATGCTCCAGTATGGTGGCTTGAGGTCCAGGCGTCACCTCCAAGTTTCAGCCACCAGAATGGAAGAAGAAATAAAAAAGAAAAGGGGTAAAAAGAACTTGCCAACTGTCACTGGAGATAAATTCCTGGAAGTTACCACATAATACTCCTGTTCTTAGTGTCTTGATCAGAATTTATGCCTGAGAGGCTGAGAAATCTAATCTTTATTTTGCATGATCATGTGCACAACAAAAATTAGATGTTTTATTCGCGTGGAAGAAGAACGGAATAGATTTTGAGAAATGAGAAACAAGTGAGATAAAGTCAAAGAAGGGAATAGTGGCCCTTCGAATAGTGTTTATTTTATTTAACAAATGTATAGCGCTCAGTAAGTTTCAGGCACTGTCCCAAAATGCTTTACAAATATCAGCCTTTTAGTCCTCATAAAGCCCTCTGAAGTCAAGGCCATATTGTCTCCATTTTACAGATGATGAAACTAAGGCCCAAAGAAATTCACATGCCTCACACAGG